GGAACAGTTGCTCAGTTACTCTTTCAAAAGTGTTCCCACTTACAGGTTTTATGTCAATAGGAACGACTTCTTGTAAGTTCTGACTAAAACCTGTAAACCGGACTCCTATTGGAACAGACTATATATGTATGTATGTACACATATGCAATAACTAAACACAAAATGAATAACTGCAATGAATAAAAAAATAAAAATGTTTTTTAATTGAATTGGATATGAAAATTTACAGAAAAAATATTTCTCACTTAATTGAAACGTTTGTGATATCACCCTATGGTACAATTGTCACAAACGAAAAGCAAACGTTTCTCGTTGGGGAATTTGACAGTGAATCTTACAACTTGTTTCTGACTATGTACAAAACTGTACAAAACCACAAAGGATATAATGATCGATTAGCAAATGGGAATTGTTTTGTACAGTTTATTTTCGTATTCTGGTTATAATATCCAACAACCAATAACCATTTGACAACTAAATATTATGTAAACGCAAGGTAAGCAAGTAAAAAAACTTGAATACTAATAATCAGGGAACGGATTTTTGGGAGCTAAAAACCTATAAAAAAGGCAAAATAAAATAACGAAAAAGGCTGGAAAAGGCAAAATAAAAAAGCGAAAAAGGCAAGAAAAGGCACTAGGTATTGCAAAAAGGCAAAAAAAGGCAAAACAAAATAGCGAAAAAGTTCCTGCACTAGGTATTGCAAAAAAGCAAAATAAGATACTAAAAAAAGACAGAAAATACGAAGAACAATCAAAAAATACATTTATTTTAGAAATGTTTATATTACAAGTAAAAAGAGAAAAACTATGTACTAGTTTCATTATATGAAAAATTTGTACTTTGAATCTTTGACTATTTTATCCTTTCGAGTTTCTAACTCATAAAACTTTATCTGCATAGTTGTAAAATTGAACCACAAGATGCATTTTGAAGATTTCTGGCAGCATTTTCATTCGGTTTTCGCGAAGAAAAGCCTTGAATGTATGTACTAAATATGCGCTCGACAAGTGGAGCCCAATTTAAATATGGAACGTGGAATAAGGCCGTTTTCCTCGCCCTTTACAATTTTATCCACGGCTGAGAAAACGGTTTTGCATTTTTCCAACACCATTTTGGTAAGAGGTCCCTGCGCTTCTATAAGCCGCATGGGCATGTGTATATTTTTTAATCTTAAAAAAAAAAATTGTAAATGCTATAATCACTTTTTTAAAGGTAGAAAAGGCAAAAAAAAGCAAATATCTTAAAAAAAAGGCAACATGAAATGTTTATATATGGAATCAGTGAAAGCTAAATCGTGGACATTCTTAATCGAGTATACTCTGTCTCTTTAGCAGAAAAAAAGGCAATTTCCATAAAATCCGTTCCCTGCTAATAATCTTAAAAACTACAATTCTGCTTTCTGGGTTGCCGCACCAGAAATGGGTATTTTTGAAAAGGGGTGGTCTCCAGCTTTAAAACGGTACTAATGTTAACCCTAAAATCGGAGGCCTTTAAATTGAGGTTTACTCAAAAAAAGATAACCCCGGGTACAAGGCAATTTTTACCGGAGATCCACTGTTAAATATACTGTTATTCGCGGTAAAAAATCACCTTAGACCGCGGTAAAATATGCCACGGCGCGTGTGAATATCCACTGCCTGAATTTAAACGTTTCTTAAAAAAAAAAAGATGTAATCAACGAAATATTTGAAGACGTACATAAGTAACAATTCTTAATGGAATGGATTTTAATAATTGTTTAATTATCCCTCAGTCAAATCAGTGTTGTACTAATGACATGTATACAAACCGATTGACGTTTTGCTGAAAAAAGTGCTTTTTGCGTTTCCGTACGCAATTGTAGTTGCTCACCCGTTACTTTCACTTGACCGGCTGTTTTCGACTGCTTAAAAATCTCGCTTGCGCTCTACATTTGTCTGGCAAGGGAGATAGAGGAGGCATACTTTTTCATTTGTAAAATGTCGGCAAAGAAGAAGGTTCGAGCTTTGGAGGCTAAGGGCCAGTTACTCAATGTCTGGTTAACACTAATCTCCGGTTAAACATTGTTATGTTGTTGTTGTTGTAGCAGCATACAAGTTCCCCAAAGGGTTTTTGGGGAGTGTTGCTGGAGTGGCAGTCCTTGGCCAAATACAAATCTGGGTCGTTCCGGTTACGTAGACCCGACTGTCGTGGGAACGAAACATTGTTATCGACGTATTCGACTCCATTCATGTAACTGATGGGAACTGCCTTGCCTGCGGGCAAAGCTCTTTTAAGCTCTCTATACATTTTTATAGGCCAGCGATGGGCAGAGAGAGCTTTTACTCTGCATGCGCCTATACAAAATACACAAAATGTATAGAGAGCTTAAAGGAGCTTTGTCCGCGGGCAAGGCAGTGCCCATCAGTGGTTTAGGCGCATGCAGAGTAAAAGCTCTCTATGCCCATCGTTGGTTTAAAGTAAGCGAGAGCTCGCAAACCGCTCGGTATGCGATAAAAAGCATGCTTCGTACTTTTTATGGCCTACACGTGCGGGATCTTGCATGCGTCGTCACGAAAGCGAAATTTTCCAGCACGTGCAGACGGCCGGTGAGAGTATAGTGAAAAAAGTACTTTTTCCTGCAAAAACGCCAGTCGGTTTGTTTACATGTCAGGTACGACACTAATTTGGCTGAGAGATCAGTAAATGGTCGATGTTTTTGCAAAACCGCCCATCGACCAGTTGCAAAACCCGCCCAAATCGCCGTTGTGGCATAAATGAGATTTGGTAACCCTGAACTCCAACAGATTTGTAAAACAACAGATTTGTAAAACAATGAATAGGGAAAATAACGCCTATCAAGGCAATGCCTTCAAAGCAAAAACAGTTTTTTCGCTCTCCTGTAAAATTTGAGTGTCGTAAGATAGGCGGTTTTGGAATTGGTCGATGGGCGGTTTTGCAAAAACATCGCCGAAATGATTATTAAAATCTATACAATTGGATAATTGCGTACACATTCAAATATATCGTTTTTTTTTTTAATAAATGTAAGGTTCTTTGTCTTCACTGCGTTCTGTTTTTTTTTTTTTATAAATGCAACCCTGACTATCGTTTGATACTTTTCATGAACGTTCAGGAAGAAAAACCTCGCACAAATCCTGTAAATTCTGACTGGGAATAGTTGCTCTCTTACTTTCTCAAAAATGTTACCAGTGACACAATTCCTACGTACGGGATCTACTTCCTGTAATTTCAAACTAGGTATTTCTTAAAGCGCAGTTATTTACTTGCTGTCTCCACATGCAAAAGTTTTTATCTTGATAATGTTATCCGGCAATATTTTGCCAATGGAGACCGAAAACTTCGTGGCCGCAACATTATTGACACTTAAATATAAAAGCAAACATTTAGCTGTTTTCTATTAAAATATTTGTTATTAAGTACATATCTATCGTCGCCTGGGTAAAAGATTGTCGTATATTAATTTCGGTAGGTTGTGGGAAATCGCGATTGAAGTTTGGAATACAATTTCTCAAAAACGCGAAGATAGATTTTCTCCAAAGTCTCTGAAAATGTTACTAGTTCACAAAACTCTTAAATTGTTTTATTTTTAATGTTTATTATTAACTAGTTTTGAGTTTTTGAAGGATTTTCTTTAGTAAAATTTTGTCGTAATCGCCATTTGTCCACAATTTGGCCCCCACTTTGTATGAAATACGAAAAAATGTGATCAAAATTTCTAATAAATTAACGACACTTTTTACTCAATATCTCGGAAACTAAAGGAGATATACAAAAATTGAGAATACCATTTCAAAGATATTGATTAGTTTAATATGACTGCATCACTAACTAAATTTTTACTAAATTATCGAAAAAATTTTAGTCAATATCTCGGTAACTAGAGGAGATATCTAAAAACTGATGACACCAATCGAAAGACCTTATTTCAAAATATATAACTGCATCTAGAACTAAAAATCTCAAAATGGCGCTTACGACAATCTTTTACCCAAGCGACGGTATGTACTTGGATGTGAAATAGCAAATTTTCTATTTTTTTTTAGTGTTAAATACCGGCATAAAGTACTTGTTAGAAGCCATCTTACAAATGCTTTTATCAGGATAAAAAATGTCCATGCACAAGTATTCGGCCATATTATGGTTGTCGATGTCGACGTCGATGTAATTTTTTCATCAAAAAATAGCCCTCGGTAAGTCCAACTCCATCTACGCTGACCATAGTATTTTTGCGAGGAACACCTTTTCTCAACGATAAAAGGGCCGATGGCCTCTGATCAAATTTATAACAGGCAATAAAATAGCAAAAACTTTTGCTTGTGGAGATGGGCCCTTACCTTCTCTCTCTCTCTCTTTAAGGAGATATACAAAAATTGAGAATACCATTTCAAAGATATTGATTAGTTTAATATGACTGCATCACTAACTAAATTTTTACTAAATTATCGAAAAAATTTTAGTCAATATCTCGGTAACTAGAGGAGATATCTAAAAACTGATGACACCAATCGAAAGACCTTATTTCAAAATATATAACTGCATCTAGAACTAAAAATCTTCAAAATGGCGCTTACGACAATCTTTTACCCAAGCGACGGTATGTACTTGGATGTGAAATAGCAAATTTTCTATTTTTTTTTAGTGTTAAATACCGGCATAAAGTACTTGTTAGAAGCCATCTTACAAATGCTTTTATCAGGATAAAAAATGTCCATGCACAAGTATTCGGCCATATTATGGTTGTCGATGTCGACGTCGATGTAATTTTTTCATCAAAAAATAGCCCTCGGTAAGTCCAACTCCATCTACGCTGACCATAGTATTTTTGCGAGGAACACCTTTTCTCAACGATAAAAGGGCCGATGGCCTCTGATCAAATTTATAACAGGCAATAAAATAGCAAAAACTTTTGCTTGTGGAGATGGGCCCTTACCTTCTCTCTCTCTCTCTTTATCAACAGCAAATTTGATATGTTTCTGCCCACTTCCACGGTATGCTATGTATGTAAACGCTCATGGGTAACAACGCTCATACTATGTATGTCCTGGAGTATTGGAACGCATAAAATAAAAAAATAAAAATCAGGTAACAGGCAACAACACATAAAATTTGTTCAAGATGGATTCGTGCGAAAATTGCGAGTTAAACGTAACGTCATTCCTGAGAATGAATGAAGACGAACTTAAAGTATTCCTCATTAACCACGGTGTTCTAAAGAGCCAGAAACTTTGTCCGAATTGTGGAAAGAGTTGTATCGTGTCGGGAAAATATTTTATTTGCCGCAAAATCCGAACGGAAGTAAAACATAAGAAAAAGAAAAAGATTCAGTGCTCATTTAGGCGCAGTATATACAGCGGTACATTTTTTTCCGGCGCTCAACTTAGCCTGGACCAAGTTTGTCGATTCGTACTATTTTTCATTACGACGAATCAACCCAAAACCAACTTCCTCCAGGAGGAAATAGCCATCAGCCGACATACAGTGGTCGACTGGACCAATTTTACGCGGGAAGTCTTGATGCATTGGGCAATTGAAAATAGCGACGGTATGCTAGGTGGTGAGGGGAGAGTGGTCGAAATCGACGAGGCTCAGATAGGCCACCGAAAGTTCAAAAATGGAAGATGGATTGAGGGACAGTGGGTTTTCGGCTGTATAGAACGCGATACGAAAAAAATGTTCGTCGTGCCCGTCAAGGATCGTACTAGAGAAACCCTGCTTGAGGTAATCAAGCGAAGAATTGCTCCAGGGTCCGTAATCTACACGGACTGCTGGAAAGCATACGACACCTTGGAAGAGCATGGGTATACTCATGCTCGTGGGAATCAGAGTCAAAATATTGTAGATGCATTAACGGGAGCGCATACTCGAAATATTGGGCGACATTGGCGTGAACTGCGCTCAAAAGTGCCAAAATATGGCAGAGTGGAGGAGCACTTGGAAGGCTATATTGCCGAATTCCTTTTCCTGCGCAAATACCCGAAAATCAGTGAACGCATTCACAACATATTCAAGGCAATAGGCTCCTTGTATGCACCCACTAATTAAAATAAACTTGTAAGTAAACAATTGAAATTTCAACCCTAAATATACTTATGTAATTAGTTTTAAGCTCAACTATTTTTAAAAGAATGGCAGCACCAATTTCCCTGAATTTAATTTATATTAATTTACCTATCAAACATGATTGTTGTGTGGATTGATACTCCTCCTGACGTTTTTGGATGAGTTTTGCGCAGGTTCTGCAAAAGTGACCAACTCTACCCATTTAACCTATTTTAACTTTTACAGAGTATGTCTATTAAAAAGTGAGCAAATGAAGTTCTACTTCCGACAGTCATAAATTTTGAAAAGTATGTAGAAATACAGATGCATGCAACTAATTAGCAACGAAATTCAAAACGATATTGCTTGCAAATTATGTTAATTTATTTTTTTTTAAATAATTTTCATTTAAAATATAATTCAATCTATAACAGAAACCACAATAACAAAAGTTGCAAAGCTTGCACAAATTGAAAAAAAAATTAATCAAACTTAAAAAATCGTCATCAAAATTTCAAAATTTTTAATTAGAATATATAGAAAATGTTGGGGTATGCAGTTTTGTAGCCCACTTTTAGTATAATAAAGTGGAAGTTTCAAGTCGCTAAAAATTACCGTTGATTTTTTAGAATTTTTTTTGTCAAGGGTGTCGCGGATTTTTTTCCATGTAAAAAAAATTTTGATCATGTGTTATATGGAAGAAAATGCTCAAAACCCTCCACAAAAAAATTCTAAAAAATCAACGGTAATGTTTAGCGACTTGAAACTTGGACTTTATTATACTTAAATTGAGTGGGCTACAAAACTGCATACCCGAAAATTTTCTAAATAGTCTAATTAAAAATTTTTAAATTTTGATGAAAATTTTTTTAAGTTTGATTAATTTTTTTGCAATTTGTGCAAGCTTTGCAACTTTTGTTATTGTGGTTTCTGTTATAGATTGAATTATATTTTAAATGAAAATTATTAAAAATAAATAAATAAACATAATTTGCAAGCAATATCGTTTTGAATTTCGTTGCTAATTAGTTGCAGGAAAAAAATTAATAATATAAAGAATTGCGGCCTTTAATTAGAATCTAAATATGTAAATAGTTTATTATTTATGCACGCGAGCCTTGGAAAAAAGAACTCCAGTATATTTCGGCCAATTTCTCTTTGGATCACTTAATTTTGGAGTCCCATCCAACATTGAATACATTTAACTGATCATAGCTGTATGTACGAAGTATACAATTATGCATATTACAACGATCTCAATTTTTTAAAAATCGGTTAGTAATTTTTTTGTTTAAAATATTTTTTTTTATAAAAAAAGGTATTTTTTTATTTAAATGTGTTTTATCTAAAATTTTTATATACGAAATATACAAATATGCATATCGAAAGAAAGGGGACTTCATCACCTTTACAACGATTTAAATTTTTCGAAAATCTGGACTTTGACCCCTTATAGCACCTGTAAGATAAGTTTGCACAAAAAAAAATTTAGAATTTTTATATGAACTTTAATTATTGTTCATTTTCATATCGTAACTTCTTGAATTACATACATATGTACATAAGTTGTTTTACAAATGTGTGTATATACGTTCTTTTAATTGCAATAAGCTCTTGTAATTTCTTTGCAAATTAGGTCCAAGGTTATTATAAAAGAGCCAATATTTCTACGTAAAATTGTGTGTACATATGTACATACATACACTCTTAACAAGGGTACAGTTTTTCCACTAAACTAATTTGTCTTCCATATGTTTCCCAAGTTGACACCGCTTCGTGCTTTCTTTGAAGTCTTCCAAGTAAGGTTTTTAGAACGACGCATATTGCCTTCAAATCAATTTCCCAGTAAAACAGTTCATTCAGTATATTTCTAATAATCTCGAAGCTCAGGTGCCACCTACTCACCCACCTGCACAAAGACTCCAAATGCGTTCATCCGAATACCAATTTTCCCAGCTACATACATACATACATACATACTTATGAAGCAATGAGTTGCTGGTTTACCCGGCCGCTACTCTTGCCACTAATGTACCATACATACATATGTACATATGTAATCTTACGCCATTCACACCACGCTGTCAATGTGCCGATGTGCCGATGTGCCGATGTCCCGATTTCATTGAGTGAAAGCAAAGAAGGCGCGCCGCGTCGCAGGATTTCATTTTGTTGCGTTGGACGCAAAACGGCGGGAGCGCTTTTGTAGTAGTGTGATAGTCGGTGGCGCCCACTACAAAACACATTTCCTTGGTAAATCTAAAACCTCTAGTTGCTGTTGTTGTTATTTCTCTGCTTCTCCATACATACAATATCTATACATAAATACTGACATATGGGTAAAACCCATTTATTTTTCGCAGTCAACGCACGACTCATTTGTCCTCCAGTGCAAGGATATTCGTAGAAGCGATGAAATTATTCCGAGAAAAACCAATTATTAATAGCTGCTCTCTTTCTGTACAAGTAAGTATATGTCTGTACGAGAGAGCGCATTTTCTCTAGGTTTTACTTGTTCTCCATTTCCTATTTTTATTGCAGATTTTCTGCAAATAACAAGTAAAAATGTTGCCATGTTTTTTGTTACTGAAAGCTAATTTGTAGATGTAGATTAGAAAAGGTTCCTTGTCCCCTCGTTTTAGGAATGGCAGCATTGGAATTACTCAAACATTGAGCGCTATTAAATAAGTATGCTCACATAAAAATTAATGATGGGCAAAAGGCCATTTTCATTTCTGCAAAAGCCCACTGACGTTTTCTTGTTCGCCATGGAAACGATAACTTGTTGGGATCGTATCGAGTCCATCCTTAGCCCCGAGCAACATAATTCGGACGCCATTCTAGCGTTTTTCAACAGCGCGAAGTTCAGTAAGGTAAAATCATTCTAAGTACCCAACAATATATGCATATTGATGATAAAAAAGTTGGGTCCGGAATGAGTAGACTATCTCAACAAGATCTTTAGTTTTTCGATGTACCAATGTAATCCCACTGCTAAAACCGGGAAACCTACCTCCTCTCCTTCTCCGCGCACACAACCGCAGTTGTCAACAAAGTACAGAGCCGCAACAAGATCTTCAAGTCGCCCGCCGGCAGCACCTGGGGAAAAGACAAAGAAATGTTTGCTGGCAACATACAAGGCAATTGGCCTGCCGGTTCTAAACTATATTGCGCCTACAGGGGTATATTGGACAGCGACAGGGGTCCTTCTAATGTCGCCTGACCACCACCTACACAGCGAGGCCCTGTCCAGACACGACCCCAATATCCCCAATGAGTGTTCAGCGCATGCCGGACTACTGTACATTGATACATGTGTATGTATGTATGTATGTATGTATATCGTCGGTGATACTGCAAAACTTTCTATGTCACTTATTACCTCTGGTGCTTAATTGATCTTTTATCTGTATCTGATCGCTTCTGGCAATAGTTAATCTTCATCCGCCAAAAGTAGTCACTTTAGTTTTTCGTTTATTAGGGTGTAACGATTTGCAGATGCATTCCGGTGCAAGTAAGAGACCATCTAAGATTCAAGGCTACTAATAGACATACAGTGGTCGAAGTAATTATAGCCGCACCACAAGTTTTAATATATTATTTTGTTGTTATTTAATTTTGGTTATTTTTTTATAAAAATATAATATAATTCATTCATTCCAGGATGTTACGGTTTTTTCCATATAAAAATAAATTGTGTGTATGCGTTGTATGGAAGCAAATAGGACAAAAAAAATTCTAAAAAATCAACCGTAATTTTTAGCCCTTTGAAACTTGTACTTTGTTCTACTAGAAGTCCATGGGCTAGAAAGCTGCATACTCAGAATCAAGGTACATTGAACAGGTAGTATCAGTAGAGCAGCTGATTTGATTTATTTTCAAATTATTTGGTCTCGAAAATGTCAAATATTTTTAATTTTTTCTCATAAAAATTCTGAATTGTTAAAATCCATTTGCATGTGAAACCTTTCTCCATACAAAACAAGCGATTGAATAGCAGCTTTTGGAACGTTCGCCCAACTCAGCAGCACAACCGCTGATTACCGGTCCTTGCAAAGGATGGATCAATGCTTCGAGAAGCAAACAAATTTACTAGGAAAGAAAGTTGCATCAATTTTTATTTTTTCCAATTTCAATTTTTTATTTTTTATAATTTTTTGTATTTCACATGGCACGCTTTGATTTAGAAGAAAAAATTAAGATCGGTTTTCGACACTTTCGATACCAGAAGCAACAACAAAATACACGCAAATGTTGTTTTTGCTCTACTGATACTACCTGTTTAATGTGCCTTGCTCAGAATCTTTCTAAAAAATCTAATTAAAAAAGTTAGAAATTTTTACCAAAAGTTTGTTGATTTTTTTTTTTAAATATGTATTGCACAAAGTCTGAAGCTTGGATTTACACGGGTTTTGTTAAAGAATGAACTATATTTTTATAAAAAAAAAATAACCAAAATTAAATAACAACAAAAATAATGTGTTAAAACTTGTCAAAAAGGTGGTGCGGCTACAATTATTTCGACCACTGTTTACCGTTTTGCAGTATCACCGACGATATATATCTTTTGTTTTTGGAACTTTTTTTTGTATTACATTTTTGTACTCAAATCGTGCCAAATGCGAGTTAACTCGCCAGTGTGAAAACATAGAAAATTAATTTCACACATTTCCATCGCCATCGTCTCAGAGTTAGTTTGAAAATGTCTCATTTCACCACTTCTTCATTTTGTTTCTCTATTGTATCCTTTGCGTTGACTGACAGCAATACAACAACATGGGCATTTCCCAAAAAAGGTAAACCGAAAATGCAAGTAAATGACTTTAAACGTCTTTATAACTTTAAATTTCGTATTCAGATGGCGAAAAGACGTTTTGAAAACGCGAAACGGTGGAGAGAAGAACTGAAAAAATTAAATAAAAAAATAAATTTAGTATGTGTTACTAGTAAAAATATTGTATGGGCTAAAAAACTGTCGCGTCCGTAACCAGATTTTAATTCAAAATTAAATC